TTGTAGCAGGGCAGGCACTATAGGGGTACAATTAAGGTGAAGGTTGGATGTTGTTTGTCTGTATCTGCATGCTACAGGGCCAGGAGAAACCAGCGGAACCAGCATTTGGCTGGTTGGGCAAAGACAAAACAGGTTCTGTTTTTAGGACCTGCTTCTCGTTGTTGTTCTCCTAGGTTGGAAAAACAGAACCAGAGGTTGTGTACCAACCTACCACCTGCTGTTTTGTCCACCCAGGTTGGTTCTGTTGCTTGGAATTATTTCGGATCATCCCTGGTTGTTCCCAGGTTGATTCCCAAGGTCCTTGCTAGCTAGAACTATGTATTCCTTTTCTGTTTGTACCTGGATATAGTTTATTAATTCAAGCGAATACATTCCTCGCTGGAATTTTGTTTCTATGTGGTTTGATGACGGAATGCTACCCGAGTCAACGCTAGTACGCTAGCACTCCTACGCTAGGCAAACGCTGTCCGAGCCATAACTTCGTAATGGCAGAACTTTTTGTTAGGCAACTTGGCATATTTTAAAGCTCTTGGAACGAGCTTCGTTATAGTGAAATCCCAACTTAATCCGATCGACGGTCTGCACGGCACGCTGCGGGACGCTGAAGGTACTCTCATTATTTTGGCTAAGTCATTTTTGACTCCTCTCTCTACAAACTCGGACCCGATGATAGGGGCTGGTCTTGTACCAGGCATCCAGGGACCCTTGGAGGTGACCCCGAGGAGAGGTTGTACGTTTGATAAAGTCTTAATAGCTTTAGTTTATTATGCCCTTAGAATAACAAGGTGGTATCAGAGCTGCGATACAGTAATCCTCGTTATAGGTAGCTATGGCGGGCAACACCTCGACCGGAGCTGGTGAATCTTCAGCCAAAGATCGTAGCGGCAGCCAAGATTCTGGTGTTTCAGCGCCAAGGGGAACGCGAACAAACCAGGGCTCGCTGGTCAAGGAGGTGCTAAAGAACTTCACCGTCGAAAAGTCCAATGGTGAGGGCTATGATAATTGGGCCTGGAAAATGCAACTATATTTTGGTCAGATTGGATTGCTGAAACTAATGACTAGGGAGGAGCCTAGACCGAGTGACCCCACGCTGCAGGAAGATTGGGACGAGCGCTCTTCGGCTGGCTACTATTTGATGTCGCAGAGTTTGGAGCTGAACCAGCGTCACCACGTCATGCACCTGCTGCCGGAGGTGGAGTGTGGTCCAATAGCGTGGACCGTGTTGAAGGAGCTGCACGCCCCAACTTCCGTTGTTTTAACGTTGATGCTGGAGAGGGAGCTGTCCGCTTTGCGCCTGAGCGAGGGAGAGCCGGTGCAACCTGTCCTGGACAAGATGCGCGACCTCTACGCGAAGTTGGCGACCGTGGGAATCACCTACCCGGAGCAGACCAAGTGCTTGAAGATGTTCTTGCTGCTGCCCGAATCGTGGCTTCTATTCACGAGCGGATTGAGCCTGCCGCAGAACCAGAGCTCGTGGACATTCGAGTGGGTGCGGACAAAGATTCTGGAGGAGGACTTCCGTTGCCGCCAACTGAGAGGTGGAGACGACGGCAGCAGCGGCTATGGGATGCAAGGGAGCCGACGTGGCAGAGGACGTGGCTTCGGTGGTGCTGGACGCGGTGCAAAGAAGGACGACGACTCCAACGACCAACAAGGAGGTACCGGTTGGGGCCGCGGTGCGAAATCTGGACGTGGTGGCAAGTCGGGTGCTGGTGGCAAAATGAAAGGGAGTTGCTGGTATTGTGAGAAGGAAGGGCACCCATGGTTTTTGTGCTATAAGAAACTCGATGGATGGACCCCCCAGAATCATCACCAGGATGGCTGCGCAAAGAGGAACCAGCAAAACGGCGCGAACATGGTCGCCGATTCGTCCGACAACAACCCGAAGACCAATGGCGGTAGAAGGAGAGCACCGCGGGCCAGTTCTTCCATATCCGAGAGCAGGGTGAGCAAGGAGACGCCTCTGCCAAGGTAGGAGCAGAGCTGCACCCTCTGGACTATTGGGTGTTGGACACGGGCGCTGCTTGCACGGATGGGGCACGCACTTACAAGGGGCAGCTGGGCAATCGTGTGCTTCGGGATCTGCACGAAAGCAAGGACGTGTACCGATCTTTGTGGCAGCTGCCGCCGTTGGCGTGGCACGATGGAGGGCAGGCTGGAGAGGGGTCTGCATCCCAGGGGGAGTGCAACGCCATTGGAGGGGTTGGTGTGAAAGTATAGGCCAGATCTAGGGAGACGGATTGGGCAACGCACACCGACATTTGGGGCATGTGGCAATGCCCTTGTTGAAGCAGTTGGAGAAAGATGGAGCCGTTAGGGGTATGAAGCTGAACGGACAGCCACCCGATGATAACTGTGAAATATGTTTGCTCTCAAAGTTTACCCGTTTTCCCTTCCATAGTGTGGCTGGCAGGAGCAAGAAGCCTTTCGAGCTGGTCCACATGGACTTGGTGGGGCCGCTGCCGGTGCAAGGGCACAAGGGGGAGCGGTATTTCCTAACTATTGTGGATGATTGGAGCAGACTCATGTAGGCTTATCCGATGAAACAGAAGGACCACGCGGCCTCCACGGTGCGAGATGATTGGCTGCCGCTCGTGGAGAAGCAAGCGGAGTATGTGGTGAAGCGGATTAGGACAGACCGGGGTGGTGAGTTCCTTGGAGCTGAGATGACGGCCTGGCTCAAGAAGTAGGGCATCCAGAGGGAGCTGACCACGGCTTACACCCCACAGTCCAACGGTGTAGCAGAACGGGCGAACCGGACAATTCTGGAGACATCTAGGGCGCTGCTCATAGAGGTTAGGGAACTCGATGTGGCCCCATGCTGTTCGGCACGCTACGATCGCTAGGCACAGGCTGCTCACCAAGGTTGGGATGACTCGTGGGTGCCGTTGGAGAGGTGGCTTGGGACGAAGCCGCCAGTGGACATGCTGAGGGTGTTCGGTTGCATGCCAGTCGCCCACGTTCCCAAGACCTACCGAAGTAAGTTGGGAGCGAGTGCAATCTGGTGTGTTCATGTGGGGCTGGCTGCTAAGAGCAAGGAATGGCTGCTCTGGGAACCATCCAAGGGTGTGTTGTTTGACAGCAGGGATGTGAAGTTTGTTGAGGGCATGATGTATGGGAGCTGGGAGAAACAGCCGGAGGCCAGGGTGTCCCAGCAGATGGAGCAGATCATCATGCAGCTGGACCTGACTCCTAGTGTGTGGGAGGAGGGAGAGGAGGCAGCTGCAGAGGGTGGTGATAGAGAGAAGGTACAGGAGGCACCTACTGGTGGAGAAAATGATGTGGACACTAGCGGTAGTGGAGCTGCTGGATCCGAGGGAGGAGAGCAGCAGCAGGGGAAAACTACGAAGCCGAAGGGTGCCGTTATGAGGGGATGGGAGACACCCGCCTCCAGGCCAGGACGTACACGTATGGCTACAAAGAAGCTGACTGCAGAAACTGATGTAGCAGAGCAGCAGCTTGGGAATGAGGAGGGATTGCTGATTCTACCGTATGGCTATGACCCGGATCGGGAGGATGAACCTGCTTACTGTTTTCTTGCCCCTGCACCAGAGGAGCCAGCTAGCATGGAGGAGGCATTAGCTGGACCAGATAGGGAGAAGTGGCTGGTTTCCAGGGATGCTGAGTACCAGAGCCTGCTAGAGAATGGGACATGTGATCTGGTGGTGCTGCCTGAGGGGAAGAAAGCCGTACAGTGCAAGTGGGTGCTAAGGATCAAGACCGATCACAAGGGACAGGTCACCATCTACAAGAGCAGACTGGTGGCTAAGGGGTTTATGCAGAAGGAGAAACAGGACTTCAATGAGATCTTTGCTCCCACTGCCAAACCCCCTACCTTCCGTGTCTTGTTTGCAGATGCAGCCGTTGGTGGGAAATTCATTATTTAGATGGATATATCAACGGCATTTCTCCATGGGATTTTAGAGGAGGATGTGTACATGACTCAGCCGCCTGAGTATGAAGATGGTACGGGCAGGGTGTGCAAGCTGAAAAAGTCCATCTACGGCTTAAAGCAGGCGCCTCGCTGCTGATACCAGAAGTTGGCAGCTGTTTTAGAGGAGATGGGATTCAGAACCAGCAGCTGTGATGAGAGCCTCTTTCTAAGGCCAAACCCCGAATTACTCAAAGCTGGTCAACTCGGTAAAACCTAAGTTCGGGAGGAGGTTGGGGGAATGGTTCGGAACAAAAGCGAACGCAATGATTCGCGAAAAGAATGGGCGAAAGCAAAGTGAATCGCAACACTGGGCCCCAAGCAACCGCCCCGAACTGGAAAGTCAATGCCTTTGCTGAATTACCGTCACGCCACCAAACTGTCATCACTTTTGGGCACAGCCAAAGTCACTCGACAGGCCGAACAGCAGGGGAAAACCGCGACGCTCCAGTTCCTATCTGGTTCCACGCAACGAACGACGACGACAGTTATGACGACGACTCCCTCACTCAATGTGAGCGTTTAGGGAAAGAACATAGCTCAAAGAGCACCATAGCATTCAAGATGCCACGCCACTATTAGAATTGGGAGAATAGATGCGAATGTGAGAGCACGAGTCGCGTAGGGAAAACGTATGGGGGATGTGAGAGCCAGAGTCGCGTAGGGAAAACGTGAGGCGAATGTGACAGCAAGCGTCGCGTAGGGAAAACGTAAGGCGAATGTTAGAGCAACAGTTGCGTAGGGAAAACGTGGGGCGAATTTTACAGCAACAGTCGCGTAGGGAAACCGTGAGGCGAATGTGAGCGCAGGGGTCGCGTAGGGAAAATGTAGGGCAAATGTGAGCGCAGGAGTCGCGTAGGGAAAAGGTGAGGCGAATGTGAGAGCAAGAGACGCGGAAGGAAACCGTGAGTCGAATGTGAGAGCAAGAGACGCGGAAGGAAACCGTGAGTCGAATGTGAGAGCAAGAGACGCGGAGGGAGGGCGAGACGCGCATGCGAGAGCAAGATACGCGGAGGTAATACGTGAGGCAAAGGTGAGAGCAAAAAACGCGGAGGTAACGCGAGGCGCTTCAGGGAAAGCGAGAAACGCGGAGGGAAAACGTATTCGCAAATGCGAGAGCAAGATGCGCGGAAGCAGGGAAGGGGGAGGCGCATGTCTCTGGCAAAAAACGCGGAGGAAAAGCGAGATGCGCATGTGAGAGGATGAAACACGTAGAGAAACGAGACGCGGATGTGAGAGGATGGAGGGCGGAGAGATGACGGGAGGCGCATGCGAGAGGAAGAAGGGGGCGAGGGAAACGTGAGGCGCATACGAGAGGAAGAAGAGAGGAGGGAAAACGTGAGGCACATGCGAGGGGAAGAAGAGAGGGGGGGGGGGGGGAAACGCGGGGCGCATGCGAGAGGAAGAAGAGGCAAGGGGAAACGTGAAGCCCATGCGAGAGGAAGAAGTGAGGGGGGGAAACGCGAGGCTTACGCGAGAGGAAGAAGAGAGGAGGGGAAACGTGAGGTGCATGCGAGAGGAAGAAGAGAGGGTTTGAAAAGTGAGGCACATGCGAGAGGAAAAAGAGAGGAGGGGAAACGAGAGGTGCATGCGAGAGGAAGAATAGAGGAGGGGAAACGTCAGGCGCATGAGAGAGGAGGAAGAGAGGAGGGGAAACGTGAGGCGCAGTAAAGAGGAGGACGAGAGGACGAGTAACCGGACGGCGCAAGTGAGAGGAAAAGGAGAGGAGGGGAAACGTCAGACACATGAGAGAGGAAGAAGAGAGAATGGGAAATGTGAGGCGCATGCCTGAGGAAGGGGAGAGGGGGGGAAACGTCAGGCGCATGAGAGAGGATGAAGAGAGGAGGGGAAACGTCAGGCGCATGAGAGAGGAGGAAGAGAGGAGGGGAAATTTGAGGCGCATGAGAGGGGGAGAGATGTTGAGCGGAAACGTGAGGCGCGTGCGAGAGTAAGAAAAGAGGAGGAGAAAGGTGAGGCTCATGCGAGGGGAGGCAGAGAGGGGGGGGAACGCGAGGCGCACGCGAGAGGAAGAAACTCGGAGATCAAACGTGATCGCATGCGAATGAAAGAAGAGAGGAGGGGAAACGTGAGGTGGATGTGAGAGGTACAAGAGAGTGGGGGAAACGTGAGGCGCAGGTGCTGAGGAAGGGGATAGGAGGGGAAACGTGAGGCGCGATAGGAAGAAGAGAAACGTGAAACGTGAAATCCCCCCTGCTCTCTTCAATTTGCCCCTTCTCTCTCCTCTTCCCCCCCTGCTCTCTTCAGTTTCCCCCCAGCACCCTTGAGATTCCCCCCTCCTCTCTTCGGTTTTCCCCGTGCTCACGGGGAAAACCTGCTGTCTTCAGGGTACCCCCAGCTTTCTTCATATTCCCCCTGCTTTCTTCATCTCACCCCTGCTTTCTTCATATTCCCCCTGCTTTCTTCATCTCACCCCTGCTTTCTTCAGTTTCCCCCCATATGTCTTCATCTCCCCTCTGCTTTCTTCATCTCCCCTCTGCTTTCTTCATCTCCCCCCTGCTTTCTTCGTCACTCCCCCCTGCTTTCTTCATCTCCCCCCTGCTTCCTTCAGTTCCCCCCCTGTTTTTTTCATCTCATCCCTGCTTTCTTCATCTCACCCCTGCTTTCTTCATCTCCCCCCTGCTTTCTTCATCTCACCCCTGCTTTCTTCAGTTTCCCCCCATATGTCTTCATCTCCCCTCTGCTTTCTTCATCTCCCCCCTGCTTTCTTCAGTTTCCCCCCATATGTCTTCATCTCCCCTCTGCTTTCTTCATCTCACCCCTGCTTTCTTCATCTCCCCCCTGCTTTCTTCGTCTCCCCCCTGCTTTCTTCTGTTTCCCCCCTGCTTTCATCATCTCACCCCTGCTTTCTTCATATTCCCCCTGCTTTCTTCGTCACTCCACCCTGCTTTCTTCATCTCCCCCCTGCTTCCTTCAGTTTCCCCCCTGTTTTCTTTATATCATCCCTGCTTTCTTCATCTCACCTCTGCTTTCTTCATCCCCCCCCTGCTTTCTTCATCTCACCCCTGCTTTCTTCAGTTTCCCCCCATATGTCTTCATCTCCCCTCTGCTTTCTTCATCTCCCCCCTGCTTTCTTCAGTTTCCCCCCATATGTCTTCATCTCCCCTCTGCTTTCTTCATCTCACCCCTGCTTTCTTCATCTCCCCCCTGCTTTCTTCGTCTCCCCCCTGCTTTCTTCTGTTTCCCCCCTGCTTTCATCATCTCACCCCTGCTTTCTTCATATTCCCCCTTCTTTCTTCGTCACTCCACCCTGCTTTCTTCATCTCCCCCCTGCTTCCTTCAGTTTCCCCCCTGTTTTCTTTATATCATCCCTGCTTTCTTCATCTCTCCCCTGCTTTCTTCATCTCCCCCCTGCTTCCTTCATCTCACCCCTGCTTTCTTCAGTTTCCCCCCATATGTCTTCATCTCACCCCTGCTTTCTTCATCTCCCCCTGCTTTCTTCAGTTTCCCCCCTGCTTTCACTCATCTCACCCCTGCTTTCTTCATATTCCCCCTGCTTTCGTCAGTTTCCCCTCTGCTTTCTTCATCTCCCCCCTGCTTCCTTCAGTTTCCCCCCTGTTTTTTTTATATCATCCCTGCTTTCTTCATCTCACCCCTGCTTTTTTCATCTCCCCCCTGCTTTCTTCATCCCCCCTGCTTTCTTCATCTCCCCCCTGCTTTCTTCAGTTTCCCCCCTGCTTTCACTCATCTCACCCCTGCTTTCTTCATATTCCCCCTGCTTTCGTCATTTTCCCCTCTGCTTTCTTCATCTCCCCCCTGCTTCCTTCAGTTTCCCCCCTGTTTTCTTTATCTCATCCCTGCTTTCTTCATCTCTCCCCTGCTTTCTTCATCTCCCCCCTGCATGGTTCGTCTCCCCCTTGTTTTTTTCATCTCCCCCCTGCTTTCTTCAGTTTCCCCCTGCTTTCTTCAGTTTCCCCCTGCTTTCTTCAGTTTCCCCCTGCTTCCTTCATCTTCCCACCTGCTTTCTTCGTCTCCCCCCTGCTTTCTTCATCCCCCCCCCTGCTTTTTTTTCAGTTTCCCCCCTGCTTTCTTCATGTTCCCCCTGCTTTCTTCATCTTCCCCCTGCTCACTGCAGTTTCCCCCCCGCTCTCTTCCATTTTTCCCCTGCTCGCTTCAATTTCCCCCTTGCTCCCTGCTCTCGCCTCGATCCCTTCAATCGTGCTCCACCCTCCTCCCAATCCAGCTCCCCAGTGCTCCTCCCAACCCAGCTCCCCAGTGCTCCTCCCAACCCAGCTCCCCAGTGCTCCTCCCAACCCAGCTCCCCAGTGCTCCTCCCAATCCAGCTCCCCAGTGCTCCTCCCAATCCAGCTCCCTAGTGCTCCTCCCAATCCAGCTCCCCAGTGCTCCTCCCAACCCAGCTCCCCTGTGCTCCTCCCAATCCAACTTCCCTATGTCATGTCCGGGACCTTCGGTGGAGTAGCATGGGGGGCCATGCATCCGGCTCCAACCCCGGAACCATCTCTGATCTGGCAGCCCTCTAACACCTTGTAAGCAAGCCTTAATAACTCTTAGTCTCAGCCTGGTCAACAGGGCATGGTGATGGTGTAGTCAACATGGCATAGCGTGGCATGGTGTGTCCGCATGGGTTGGCATTTTGATTGTGTGTTCATATGGCATAGCATAGGCTTTTTGTATCAATATAGCAACACTAATCCACTCATGTCCTCCCAACAATGCAATATTATGCTGTACCCATGCCGTGATTCAATCCCTATGTCATATATACTTACCCCCTCTCAATGACCAAATATTGTATGCATTGAATGACCGATGAAACCAGGACGGATGGCGGACCCAACACCATCAGAGCTGTGCCGATTGTATGACCAGCGTCAACAGAGTGTCCATTGGCAACTCAAAGCCCCTGTTTGTTTCCTTCGCGTGGGGCTAACTGCTCTTTTGCCGAGTACGGAAAAGGCTGCCTCATTCAATGATCTTCTTGCGCTCTACATGTTGGCAGCACCCCATGTAACGGAGCGTTTGATACGAGCTGCACAGGATGCAGGTAAATTTGTGTGAGATGCACAATATCGTTGTGGCTGTTGTAGAATGCACGGATTTGAAATAAATTTGCCCAACAATAATTGTCCTTTTTATCGTGCAGGATCCGGAGGAATAGACGCAGGCGAGGTTGTGAAAATGCACCTTGGAGCTATGTCGAGTGCTTTTTGGACACGGATGGGGGATGGTGTGATGACAGTGTAGTAGCATCAGCAGTGTTAGCATCAGCATCATCAGCAGCAGCAGCAGGGAATGGGGAGGTGCGGGCAAAGGAGGCAGTGCATGCGAAGATCAGGCGGACTTTGTAACGCTCATGGCAGCGGGGGGACTGGCTGCCAGCGAGGCTGCTGCAGCTGCCATCACTTGTGTGGAAAGATGGACTTGTGCATACAATGGAAAACAGACCCAGCAGTTCACTTGTGTCACTTGTGTGGAAAGATGGACTTGTGGCCAGCTTGTGCATACAGTGGAAAACAAAATTTAAGCACCTTCATCTCCTGGAATTAGTACGAGAGGTCCATGGTTAGCCTCGATGAGTTTGCCAGGCTGGCCCTAATCAAAACGGAGCTAACACAAAGTTGTTCTCGGAGTTGATTAAATACCTGGGCCAGCTACTTATTGAAAAAGACTGGGTTCAGGTTTGGACATCGTAACAACTGGGTCCAACTGTCAATTGATAGGCTGAAACATTCAAGTTTACAACACATACATTGCATGGTCCGCCGCGTTACAACTCAGCTAATCAATCTGGGAGCTGGGTGTGAAGTGTCATCCTTTAATGATTGGAGCATGGAGCTGCTGCCAACCCTCATCACGTGCCCCTTGCCAAACGACAGCGTCTTGTTGCTGCTGCTGTCCGCCGTGAAGGCCGTGGGGCGCGCGTTGCTCCTGCCCCTGTTTAGCCCCTAGAAGCTCCGGGGCGATGGGATGATGCGCCGCCGCGCCAGGTACTCGTCGGGTGCCAGCGGCAGCCCAGCGCGGTGCGCATGGCGGTGAGCAGCTCAAGGAAGCTCTCGAGGGCGTCGAGCTGGTCGTCCAGCAGCAGCAGGTACACCTCCACCTCCGTCTTCGCCTGCTGGTGGGGAGGAGGGGAAAGGGGGGAGTGGGGGTGTTCAAGGGGGAAAAGGACATTGGAATGGGGCAACGAGGGCAGCAGTGTGATGGCGTGTGAGAACCTGCCAGACTCGTATGCCATAGTTGTGCCACATCCCTGGCCCTTCTCGCACATTCACTGCTCTTCCCCCCCAAGCAAACTGAATTACCATCCCCTCCAACTCAGCACCTGCCATGGGAAGAGATGCTGCTGCAATATGAGGTGCAAGGAGTAGTACACGGAGTAGTGTGCGAAGGCTGCGAGGAGATGAATTGATGTTGAAGAGGACATGTGCGACATGTGCGTGGACTGAGGGGGGCGTGTGGAGACAGCGAGGAAAGGGGTGAAGGGAGAGGGGAAGGGGAAGGAGGGTTTTAGGGTGCATGTGCTGTGGTGGTGTGTACTGACTCCAATGCTATGATGGCTGGGCACGACATGTGTTTGGACTGGCAGAGAGAGTGTGCGTGAGGGAGAGAGGGGCTATTGTGTTGGGTGGCAGCACGTGGTGCATGTGACGAGGAGGTGAGCCGTACCGAAAGAACGTGGCGCAGACGCATGAAGGTGATCAGCGCGGGAGATCCCAATTACGGTGTTGTTGTTATTAGGGGAGGTGGCACCTGGGGGAGGTGATACCGGGGGGAGGTGGTACATGGGAGATGTGGTACCACTCACCTTCCGCTCTTCGCACATTCGGCGCTCTACCCCTCCTCTTTGTACCATCCCCTCCAGCCTAACACCAAGTAGATGGCGGATGAGATGCTGCTGAGATCTGAGGCGTAGTGGGTAGTACACGGAGGAGTGTGCGACGGGTGCCAGGGGGTTGGAGTGTGTTCCACGAGATTGCTGGAGGACAAAGAGGAGGGAGCAGCAGGAGGGATGCGAGATTCAGCAATAAGGGGAAGGGGGGGTAGTGGAGGGGGAAGAGGTAGGGAATGGTGCAGGGAGGCGGATCGCTAGTGCATGTTCCTAAGTAGCGAAGCATCCCCCCACCCTGTCATGCCCCCACCATGTGCACTAGACTGTGGAGGGGAAGGGGGGAAGCAGAGGGGGAATAGACTGTGTCCTGAACGCAGCGGGGTGAGGGTAAGTAGCGGGGCGGGAATAAATGGGCAGCAGGAAGAGAGAGGAGCGCACTGGCAGAAGTGGCAGCAGACGGGAGAATGAAGTGGAGTGGCGGGCGAGGAGACCCTGCAGGGATGCAGCAAGCATGGCAGTGAGGGCAAGCATGGCAGTGAGATTAAGCAAACAAGCAGGCACATGGAAAAGCATGCACATGGACAAGAGTGGGCATAGACATGCACACTCATAAACATGCATGCACATAGACATTCATGCGCATAGACATGCATGCACATAGATGTGCATGCACGTAGATATTCATGCACATAGCAGAGCATGCACGTGGACATGCATGCACATAGACATGCACACACCCACCCACCCACCCACCCACCCACCCACGCACCCACCCACCCACGCACCCACCATCAATGGATAGCAGCTGACGGTGATGTGCGGTGTAGTAGCCAGCGTCACAGGGCGATGTGCGCGCCACAGAGGTGCCACGGAAGCGCGGCGACCGATGGCATGCTAGCAGGGCGCGCGCCTGGTGCCGGGGAGGGGGATGTGAGGGGATGCAGATAGAAGGAGGTGGGGGGAGTGCATTGGCCTGAATGGACTGCAGGGACGCAGGGAAGGGGACATGGGGAAGCATGTGAGGGGACATGGGGAAGAAGGGAACGGGAGGGGGGGAAGCAGGTAACCGGACATGGGGAAGCAAGTAAGAGGATGGGGGGAAGCAGGGAAGGGGACATGGGAAAGCAAGTAAGAGGGAAGCGGGGAAGGGGACATGGGGAAGCAGGGAAGAGGAAGGGGGGACGCGCGTAAGAGGATGGGGGGAAGCAGGGAAGGGGACATGGGGAAGCAAGGGGAGGGGGGGAAGCAGAAATGCGGATGGGGGGAAGCCGGGCTTGGGATAAGGGGAGAGAGTGAAGAGGATGGGGGGACGCAGGGAGGGGGATGGGGGGAAGCAGGGAACGGGATGGGGGGAAGCAGGGAGGGGGATGGGGGGAAGCAGGGAGAGGGATGGGGGGAAGCAGGGAAGAGGATGGGGGGACGCGGAGGGAAGGGGATGGGGGGAGCATGGGAAGGGGATGGGGGGAAGCAGGGCACGGGATGGGGGGAAGCAGGGAGGGGGATGGGGGGAAGCAGGGAGGGGGATGGGGGGAAGCAGGGAGGGGGATGGGGGGAAGCAGGGAGGGGGATGGGGGGAAGCAGGGATGGGGATGAGGGGAAGCAGGGAGGGGGATGGGGGGAAGCAGGGAGGGGGATGGGGGGAAGCAGGGAGGGGGATGGGGGGACGGGGGGAAGCAGGGAGGGGGATGGGGGGACGCGGAGGGAAGGGGATGGGGGGAGCATGGGAAGGGGATGGGGGGAAGCAGGGAGGGGGATGGGGGGAGTTCGGGAGGGGGATGGGGGGAAGCAGAGAGGGGGATGGGGGGAAGCAGGGAGGGGGATGGGGGGAAGCAGGGATGGGGATGAGGGGAAGCAGGGAGGAGGATGGGGGAAAGCAGGGAGGGGGATGGGGGGAAGCAGGCGTGAGGATGTAGGGAAGCAGGGAAGGGGATGGGAAGAAGCAAGGCAATGGACATGGGGAAGCAGGGAAGGGGATGGGGGGAAGCAGGGCAGGGAAGGGGGGAAAGTAGGGCACAGGATGCGGGAAAGCAGGGAAGGGGATGGGAAAAAGCAGGGAAGGGGGGGGGAAGGAAGGCGAATATTAGCGGGAGGGATAAGAGGGAGTAGGGGGAGAAAACGTAGGGTGACGCGTGTGCGAGTTGGGAAGGGAGGCGGGAGGGAAGGCGAGGTCGACGAGCAGTGGATGGCAGGGCGACGGGGAAAGCGAGGGCGACGGGGAAAGCGAGGGCAACGGGGAGAGAATTGACGGGGAAAGCAATGGCGACGGAAAGAGAATTGACGGGGAAAGCAATGGCGACGGAAAGAGAATTGACGGGGAAAGCGAGGGCGACGGAGAGAGAATTGACGGGGAGAGGATCGGACGAGCGGAAGGGAGGGCGACGAGACGAACGGACGGCGACGGAACAGAAGCTCGGGCGACGGGAAGGGTAGGCGACGGGAAGGGAAGGCGACGGGAAGGGAGGCAGAGGGGCGCCCACGGGGCGACGGGAAGGGAGCGCGACGGGAAGGGAGAGCGACGGGAAGGGAGAGCGACGGGAAGGGAGAGCGACGGGAAGGGAGTGCGACGGGAAGGGAGAGCGACGGGAAGGGAGAGCGACGGGAACAAGGGAGGGCAACCGGCGGATCTTACGCGACAGCAGCACATTGCATTCAAGAAGTTGAGATCGCTCTGCGATGGTGGGGAGGTGCGCGCTAGCGCGGAAATTGGAAAGCACGGCGCTGCTGGCCACCTTGCTTCATGCAAGTCGGAATCAAATTGCACTGCGACTGTTGGGGGGCAAGGGAAGTTTGATGAAGGGAGCGGCTGCACTGTCGAGTGAGTTATTCAATCTAGGTTAGACTGGATATTCGGGATAGCAGATGTAAGGACTGGTTAGATTTATCGCCGTCTGCCGGCAACAACCCTCGCCCTCCCCATTTCGACCTCCGCCCCCGCGTTACCATCCCTCCGGCCCGGCCTACAGCGCCCGATAGATCTCTCAACGCGCGTGGTTCCGCCGTGCGCGGAACAACGAACTACTGCGCGTGCCTAACGCCCTCTCCTATCCGCCGTACGCCGCGCAAGGCTCGTCCACGGGACTATTTCCCCCAATAACCTTGTCTCTGCAGGGGAAATGTCGTCTGCGCGATTTCCACTTCCGCCGATCTTTGTCGCGGCGCTCGGATAAAATACACAGATTGCGGGGTTTCCTCTCATCGGTAAAGAGATCGGGAACAGCGGGAGAGCATGGGCAGAGACTGACGTCGATTTGGAAACCCGAATTACAAGCACGTAGGCTGGGCTTTCCTAATAGCCTACCCCTGCGTGCTCGTATTTTCGAAGGGGTTGTGCTGCAAGACTCATTGTGGGCTTGTCGAAACTCGCACAGGCCAACGCATGGTAACCAAGCAGGTGGGGATCCCTCGACGTGGTTCGGCACAGGAAGGTGCGGGAGGCACAGTGTCACCAGTTTGCTTTTGACTTTGTAATTCGGGCTTTGGGCTTTAAGGGGGAGGGGGAGAAGCTGGTGCTGTTTCTGGTCTATGTGGACGACATTCTTCTCGTTAGCAGCAGCATGAAGGAGATCCAGAATGTGCAGCAGCAGCTTATGGAAAATTTGAAGTGCAAGAACCTTGGGGAGGTAAAGTACTACCTCGGGATGCACGTGGAGAGGGATCACAAGTGGTTGAAGCTGCAGCAGGGGAAGTTTGTCAAGAAGCTGGGGGAGAAGTATGGGATTGAGAATGAGCGCAAGGTTGCAACTCCCCTGCCAGCAGAATTCAAGCTTGTTAAGGCTGTAGAGGATGACGGGGTTGAAGCCGAGGAGCAGCAGCAATTTCAGTCCTTGGTAGGCAGCCTCTTCTATACAGCGGTTCACACGAGGCCAGACATCTCTTTCTCTGTTGGGCAGCTGGCAAGGGTGGTGCAGAATCCATCAGAGGAGCAGGTGGATGCAGCTGAGCGTGTGGTGAAGTACCTGAACTCTCACCCAAGCATTGGAGTGCAATACACCGCATCTGAAAAGATGAAGCAGAAAGGGGTTGAGGTGCTGAAAGAGAGGGGGGAGCGACTTGGAGAAGGCAGGCTGTTTCTCACTTGCTTTACCGATGCTACGTGGGCTTCTGAGAAGGAGGATTCCTCATCTGTGGGAGGATACATCTGTGTAGTTGGGGGAGGACCTGTTAGTTGGAGGTCAAAGAAGCAGACAGAGACGGCACTCCCTTCTGTAGAATCAGAGTACATGGCGATGTTCCATGGGAAGAAGGAGGTGATTTGGTTGAAGAGACTGTTAGAGGAGATTGGCCAGGAGCAGAAGGTTGCTACGCCGCTGTTTTGTGATAACAAGCGGGCTCTTGGGATGGCCAGGAACGCTGTGCTTCATGGGCTGAACAAGCACATGCGTATCAAGTGGCACTGGCTGCGTAAGGAGGTGAAGAGGGGGACGGTGAATCGGATCTACATCAAGACCCACCAGCAGCCAGCAGACTTCCTCACTAAGAGACTTGCGGATAAGCCTCATTGGCGCTGCGTGTGCATGAGTGGAATAAGCATGAACTAGAATGGAATGATGGGGATGCAGCCGGCAGGCTGAGGGGGAATGTCTTTGTTGCAAATTCACGTTGCAGGGCACCCTGTTTGTTTATTTGAATATGCGTCGCATTTGGGTAAAAATGGAATGTTCGTGTATTTGTTTGCTTTCGCAATTTTCGCTTGAAGCATTTGCAGGTACTCGCGCATTGTGCGCTTCGGCACAACATTGTACTCGCTATGAACAGTGCAAGCAAAAAGGACGAGCTCGCAAAGGAACCCAAGATGGAAGCTTTGCGGTCCGGCTTACTTGATTGCGCAGATTCAGTTCTATCCAACTCGAAATTCTACTGTTTTTTTTGGTTGACTATAATGTAGCAGGGCAGGCACTATAGGGTTACAATTTAGGTGAAGGTTGGATGCTGTTTCTCTGTATCTGCATGCTACAGGGCCAGGGGAAACCAGCGGAACCAGCATTTGGCTGGTTGGGCAAAGACAAAACAGGTTCTGTTTTTAGGACCTGAACCTGGTTGTTGTTTTCCCAGGTTGGAAAAACAGAACCAGAGGTTGTTTACCAACCTACCACCGTTCAGCGAGGTTGGTTCTGTTGCTTGGAATTATTTGGGATCATCCCTGGTCGTTCCCAGGTTGATTCCCAAGGTCCTTGCTAGCTAGAACTATTTATTCCTTCTCTGTTTGTACTTGGATATAGTCAATTTGATTCAAGCGAATTCCCTCCTTTCTGGATTTTCGTTTCTACGAGGTACGGCGGCGGAATGCAACCCGAGTCAACACTACGACGCTAGGCCAACGCTGGCCGAGCCATAACATCGTAATGGCAGGACTCTTCGTGAGGCAACTTGGCTCATTTTAAAGCTCTTGGAGCGAGCTTCGATATAGGAAATTCTCAGCTTAATCCGATTGACGGTCTGCAAGATACGCTGCGCGACGTACAATGTACTCTTGTTATTTAGACTAAGTCATTTTTGACTCCTCTCTGTACAAACTCGGACCCGAGGATAGGGGCTGGTCTTGTACCAGGCACCTAAGGACCCTTGGAGGTGACCCCGAGGTGAGGTAAGTTTGATAAAGTGTTAATAGCTTGAGATTATTGAGCCCTTACACCAACACTAGGACTATATACGTTACTTATCCGTGTGCTTGGTACTAAGAATAGGTGCATTACTTACATGTTTGGTTGGTGCTAGGACTGAGTGCGTTATTTATCCGTGCGGTTGGTACCAAGAGTAAGTGCGTTACTTATCCGTGTGGTTGATACTGAGAATACGTGCGTTATTTACCTTTATGGTTGGTGCGAGGAATAAGTGCGTTATTTACCTATGTGGTTGGTAGTATAATAAGTGCGGCACTTACCCGTGTGGTTGGTACTAAGAGTAAGCGTTGATCACCGTGTGGTTGTACTGAGAGTTAGTGCGTTACTCACCCATGTGCTTGGTACTAGGAGTAAGTGCGGTACATGTCTATGTGGTTGGTACAAAGAATAAGTGCGTTACATACCTGTGTGTTTGGTACTAAGAGTAGGTGCGTTATTTATACGTATATTTGGTACTAACCTACGGAGAATGCACTGTTGTAAGATGGATCTCAGCGTTCCTTATGTTCTCTTAGCGCTTGCATGTTCACGTGGCAAAATGACAAGAGTTTCATTAGAAGGAGATTTATACAATGGTAAACAATTGCAAAGCAACACTGACTACATCGAAGGTAGCATGCAAGCAGGTCGACTGCTAGCGCAGCACGGTCGACCGCGTTCCAGCGCAGGGTCGACCGCGTTCCAGCAGGGCAAATTGGCGGCCCGCCAACCCTACAAGTGGAAGGTGTACCAACGCTGCAGCAATGCGGCTGCACAGCGTTGCACGTGCATGACAGCAGCGCGCCCACTTTGCAGGTTCTCGCAGATAGTTGGCGTGCTGTGCCCCGTCACGTGCACAGCGCAGACACCAAGTTGTCCACGTGCTGTTGACTGCGTCTCATCAGACATGTCCACCTCGGGATACCACCACCGAGGTCGGCTTCGCCAGAACCACCTGGGTGACTGTCGCGTACCTCCACAGAACCCCGTCGCCCGGGAAACTTGGTCGACCGGTCAACCACGCCGACCAAGTGCTGCTTCTCGTGCCCATGGACCATCCAAGTCGACGATCACCTTGTGCCGACTTCTCGGAGTTGGACACTCCCCCAGGTCGACCACTTCTGGTCGACCAGGACTACTGGTCGCCGACTACGCCCAGCCGGCTTCCCCAAGTCAGTGCCCGTTGACGCCACGAAGTCGGCTTCCCTCAGTTGGCGCCCTCCGAAGTCGGCGCCCTTCTCAGGTCGACGAGCCCCGTCGTCGACCACCAGTAGAAGTCAGCTAACGGCTTCCCAAAAGTTGGCGGCTTCGCAGTGGCCCTATGCAGGTCGACCAAACCCGTCGACCTGCGCGCCCAAGTCGGCGTCCCCCACTGCAGCTGGCCGGCTGTGCTCCCCGCACATCCGAGGTTGAAGTTGGCGACGTCCACTACAGCTGGTCGTCCGCGCTCCCAAACACACAACCCCTAGCCCACACGTAGAATAGCTCGTCGGCGTGCACAGAACATACAGCACGCCATCACCGCACCAGCCGGGCAAAAGGGCATATCGTCGTCACCGTCGACGCCGTCGGCCAAGCGCACTTGGCCAATTGCGATAGAGCACTGGTTGAAGGCAGGAAAGTGCAGTGCCTTTGAGAGGAAGTCGGTCGGCTGCTCGGGGGTCGGGATGTACTTCAGCATGAACTTCTCGCGTTTCACTATGTGCTGCATCCAGGCAAATCGCCGCTCCATGTGCTTGAGGTTGCCCTGCAGCCCCAAGCCCTCGGCGACTGTCATGCCCGACTTATTGTCCACCCGAAGGACGGTCAACGTTCTAGTGTCCAGCAGCTGGAACTCTGCAATGAGAAAACAAAGTCTGCGTCCTTCTTTGCCGGCCTCGGTGTCCGCGACGTACTCCAACTCGGTCGACGAGAGCGTTACGCACTTGATGCGCTGGCTCGACCAGGAGACCGAAGCCCCTCCGTAGACGAATACGTAGCCGCCTGTGCTCGTTCGATTCTGCTTGTCACCGACGTCGTCGGCGTCCACGTAGCCGACCAGCTTCAGCGACTCTGGTCCATTGCTGAACTCCAGGGCGGTGTCACGGGTGTCGGCAGGGTAGGCGAAGCAGCGGTCGACCTCACGCCAGTGTTGGTCGCTCCTCACTGTGAGGCCGCTTCCTAACTTGCTGAAGACGAAGGCGATGTTCGGCCTCGTCGTCGTCGCCGCGAACAGCAGCGAGCTGACCTTCAGCCGGTACTACTCCTCTTTGTGCGCCTTCTAGTAGTCGATCGTTAGCTCGGCGTAGGCGTCGACAGAGCCAGGCGTCTTTGGGATCCGACCGCCCTGCTCCTCGTTGATGAAGTGCCTACTTAGCTTGTCGGCGCTCTTCTGGTGCAGCCACAGCTTCCTAGCCGGCCTGTCGCGCACGATCTCCAGCCCGAGGTAGTTTACGACCGGCGAGATCTTGCGCAGCTTGAAGGCAGCCTCCAGCAGCTCTTTCAGCTCCTTCAGCATCGCAGTGCTGCTGCTGGCGGTGAGCAGGTCATCGTCGTAGACCAGCACCCAGCAGGTTTTTTATTTCGTCGTCGCGGCGACCTTGAAGTAAAGAGCCTC